TTGCAAGACCACCTGCTGGAAACCAGCCTGTGTCACTAGCTGCTCTAGCACACCCTGCTGTCCACCCAGCTGCTGTGGATCCAGCTGCTGCCAGCCATGCTGTCCCCCAAATTGCTGTAAAACTACCTGCTGCAAGACCACCTGCTGCAAGCCAACCTGTGTGGTCAGCTGCTGCAGCACACCCTGCTGTGAGCCTTGCTGCTGCCCCAGTTGCTGCATCATTCCCTGCTGCCAGCCCTGCTGCCCTCCTACTTGCTCTAGAACCACCTGCTGCAGGACCACCTGCTCCAAAAAGTCCCATGTGACCCTCTGCTGCAACACACCCTGCTGCCAGCCCTGCTGCTGTGTGTGCATCTGCTGCCAGCCTTGCTGCCCGTGATCAACTCCCAAAGACCAAGGTCTACAAACTCTGCTCAACCTGCTTGCCTTACCTGCAATTCCCCTCCTACCTAGGCTTAAAACCATCAGACTGTCATCAGAAATTATGTTCATCACCTCCCAAGTAAGACCTTGTGAATCACCTTGGGGGAGTGCAGACCACCCCACTCCTATCCGCTTTTTTCCTTAGGTCTTATGGACCCTGGTTCAGCTTCACAGGTCCTTGAAGGAGAGCTGTGGTCTTGATTAGAATTGTGAAGCCAAATCTTTATCTCTCCATCTAAATAACATAGAAGCACACTCCCTCAGAAGAATTTCATAGGTATATGCAAGTGCTCCTTCATCTTTATAGTCATGGTGTTCTCCATATTCCTATTTGCCATTTTTTCTGTCAGAATCACCTTCAGTTGGCTTCCTTGGTACATCCCTTCTTCATAAATTCCTAATAAATTATAAATCTTTATTCATTCTGTATTGTCTTTCTTTACCTTCTTGTGTTGAGACCCCTAACATGGAAATCATATTCTTGATCGATTTTAAGTGCAAAGTAGATTGTCATTGTATCCCACACTGTAGCACAGACACCCAGAAGTTGTTCATCTTGCAAAATTAAAATGGCATACCCATTGGTTGGCAGCTTTCTACTTCCACCTAACCCAGCCTCTGAAATCCACCACTCTATTCTGTCCCTATGTGAGTTGACCGACTGTACATACCTCATATAGGTGGAATCCTGCTAATGTTTTCCCTGTACTTGGCCTAGTTCATTTAGGGGACAGGGCGAAGTTTCACCCATGTTAGCACAGGGGGAAGGATTTTACCACTTTCATGCCTGAATAGTATTTCAGTGTGGGTTTCTGTCCTATTCTCTTGATCCATTTCTCTGTCAATGGGTAGTTGGGTTTCCCACAACTTTGCTCTTATTCATGATGCTTCCTTGAACACAAGAGTGTTGATGTCTTTTCAAGTTTCTGATCCTATTCTTTCCCCTACAAATCCAGAAATGGGCTTTCAGGACCATATGGTATGTCTAAGTCTGTTCTTTTTAGGAAATTCCATAGTGGCTCCTGCATCATTAGACATTCCTTTCTGTGTAGGAGATTTCCAGTTTCTCCACATCCTTGTCAAAACCCTTATTCAGTCAGTACTTTGTGGAAGAGCCACACAATATCACAATACCATGATGATTGCAATGTTCAAACAATATGGCCTGAAATGTCATACAATAAGACAAAATACTTGGTCTTGCCTAAGGAACTACAAGATCAAACAACAATGCCCCCACCCCCATGCCCTGTTCAGCTAGGCCCTGAAAATCTTTCCATGTCTCCCTCCTCTCCACCAACATACCTGCACTCCTATGGTATACCACCTCACTGCCTTTAAAAACATCAATATTAATTTTCACAAAATCCTCAATCAGATTATAGGAAATACTGCTGACCTTGAAGCCAAACTTTCTCCTTGGGGTTTTATGCAATAAATGGTCTCTGCTCCTGCTAATGTCAGCTTCAAGTTCCACACTCAAAGAAGAACCTCCTCTCTCTTGTCCCATGGCAGCTAAGTGACCAGCACAAACAGGGATGGCTCTGACCTTTTTTTGTACAAATTTTCATTTGGTGCCTTCCTTATATAACATTTAGAGCCCTTTAGGATATGCCATGTCATATAAATCCAGCTATATTTTTGGACACATCAGTATTTCTTCATCCATGATATGAATTTCTAAATTCCCAAAATAAAGTCATAATCCAATGAAAGGTCAGTGTTCAGAGAGTCACAGGGGCTCTCCTGTTTTATATGACATTGATTGAGTGACAAATTGATATCACTGGCTTCTTGATTGTTTCTCAAGGACATCTTTCCCCCCAACTTCTCCTCAGTGGGTTGAGTTGATACTCACTATCTTGCAAGTAAGTTTCTCTTCTGATCATTGGAGTGTAGGCTAAAGGCACTGCTTCATTCATGCCCTACAGAATAATACAATGGTGATGTAAAAATGAACATTATCAATTATAAATATATGAGTCTAGACATTGTTTATGCAGTAATGAAGCTCAGTGATATGTCTATAAGAGACTCCTTAGAAATCCTCCATATGATGTGTGCTTCAGAAAGGAAGCCTTGGATCTGAGAGGAACACTGTAGATGCCTTTGCTCAGGTGCTGTCAGAGAACTGCCAGTTCATCATATAGAGAGGAGAGCCCCTTAAGAAGTCCAGGACATGCAACCGAAACATGGCCAAATTGGGTCACAAGAAAGTGGAGAATCTTGGCTTCTTCAGAATTTATTCAATGGAAGAAGGTAGCAGAAATACAATTAGAATAAAGGGATAATATAAATAGGATAGATCATATTTGGATAGAAGTGGAACAAGACCAGAGTCACATGCATGTGATCATGACCCCAATTAGCTATTTTCAGAAATGAAAGGTTGTTCCAACTCTGGAACATTATTCAAAGTTTTCATCACATAGACTAAATAAGTGCAGAATAATCATAACGTTGCTTCAGTTCATGAAAAAAAAATCAATGCATAAAATAAACACATTTCCAAAATCCAATACCTTAACAAGTGAGGATTAAAAAAGCCTTCCTGCTGTAGTTGAAACAGTTCTGATTCACCCACCATGAAGGGTGCCAACCCTTGAGACAAACAGCTTCCAAAAGAGAAAGTGATCATTCATCAGTCAAGCTGGGGGATAGGCGAGCAAGTCTCAAATCTGTCTTCACATGGAGTGTTTGGACCTCTGATGTCAGACACGACACACCACCCAACATGCCCTGGCACAGGAGCAAGGGAAGGGAGAGTGGTTTCAACAAGGTGCAGCAGAAAAGATGCCCTGCAAGTTCCTGGAAAACCTCCTGACCAACTGTTCCTCTTAAGCCATCATGACCTGTGGGTCACAGGTGTAATATAGCGCAAAGATGCAAGATAGACTATGCTGAAATGAACAAAAAGAGCATCATTATTTGTGATGTGATTGCACAAAAAATTACGCCCTTCCAAAAAGATCTACCATGCACTCTTAGATATAACCAGGGACTTTACATACAGGAACATATAAAATATGGATCACTTATAATATGTCCAAAGCAGTTAAAAATTTTACTTCTAAATTATAATATATAACACACTTACATAATAGAATATCTAAGAAGAAATAAAGTGAAACACGGACAAGACCACCAGAGAAAGAATGAATACTTCCATTTGGGAATTTCATGAGTAATCCTATACTTGGTTATAGATCCACCAGAAATACTTTTATATATCACCACAGGCTCTGTGCAGAAACATTGATAGCAGCACAAATTTGAATGGTCCCAAGCTACAGACAAGCTACATGATCATCTAGGGGACATGCAACAGATTGTGTCATTTCATTCGGTGGATACTTTACAGCAATGAGAATGAACACACTAGAGTACCACTCTCACACTCACCACATAAGGAGACTCAGCAATTCTATTATCTGAAGCAAACTAATGGTGAAAAAAGTCAAAATTGCCCTAGAGGTCCACATGTCAACAGAGGCTTCTGTCTCCTTTGGAAATCAGTGACAGGGTAGGGTTTGAATGGAACAGGGTTCATTTCTATTTCCTAACCTGATATACTGACAGGGATGCATTCACTTTAGGATATTTCACCACACTGGAAATTAATAATTTTCATCTTTCTGAACACATTGATAGACCTGAAAACATTTTAAATATGTTAGTCCTCACAGGTAAACCAGGTGCCATCTCATCTAATCTTAATTCCCTCATGAAATAGAATTGAGGCAAGAAAGCAATGGACAGAAACAAAAGGGAGGACAAAGAAACACAGACAGAAAGACAGAAAAAAATCCCTGACCAAAGATCATTGACTCCCCTGGGACCCAGGGTAGGACTAGAGTCACCAGCTCATCCTACTTTGCCTGGGTCCGCAGAGCTCAAGTGACAGAAAGTCCCACAGGCTCATCCTGGTGAGACCTCAGTACTGGATCAACAGGATGATGGTCACCCACACTTCCATCCCTGCCTGAATGGTCTCCATATACTGCCTCTTCTTCTACCCTCAGGCTCTGCTTGTGCGCTGCTGGGAAGGACCATGTGTCCCACATTCTCTTTCAAAGTGCCACCAAGACACATAAGTGGAAGAGAAAACACAGAAAGGTTCTTGAGTGAGCACAGGTGCCAATTGTCCTGGTGAATGCCACAGCACCATGCTCCTCCCACAGACACTTTCTAATCTGAATACAGACAAAGGAACAAAGCTCCAGGGGAACAACGGCCTCACCCTCCCAGGACAGCAGGACACAACCCATGACCAAATTGATACTCAGAGCTAATGAGGTGACTGTCTTCCTTTCATCTGGAACAGTTCCTGTGAGTTTACACCTCTTAGGAAACAGATTAAACACTTCCACAACACTCATCACATTTACATAACAAATTCTTCTAAAACAAACAAAAACTGAATGCAAGCAATAACATAAACAACAACAAGGCAAAGGGCTGCTGATTGGTCCCAACTTTGGAAACCCCATGGATAAAAGAGCCCAACTGCAAGGAGTCCTCATATCCTGCAAACTCACTCACCTGTGAACAGGATCCCACCCTCCACAGCTCACACCATGGCCCACTCCAGCTGCTCCTCTTGCTCTAAGCCTACCTGCTGCAAGACCACCTGCTGGAAACCAGCCTGTGTCACTAGCTGCTCTAGCACACCCTGCTGTCCACCTAGCTGCTGTGGATCCAGCTGCTGCCAGTCATGCTGTCCTCCAACTTGCTGTGAAACCACCTGCTGCAAGACCACCTGCTGCAAACCAGCCTGTGTCACCAGTTGCTGCAGCACACCCTGCTGTCCACCCAGCTGCTGTGTGTCCAGTTGTTGTGGTAAATCCAGCTGTGAGTCCAGCTGCTGCCAGCCCTGTTTTACCCCAACTTGCTGTGAAACCACCTGCTGCAAAACCACCTGCTGCAAGCCAGCCTGTATGGTCAGCTGCTGCAGCACACCCTGCTGTGAGCCCAGCTGCTGTGAGCCTTGCTGCTGCCCCAGTTGCTGCATCATTCCCTGCTGCCAGCCCTGCTGCCCTCCTACTTGCTCTGGAACCACCTGCTGCAGGACCACCTGCTCCAAAAAATCCCATGTGACCCGCTGCTGCAGCACACCCTGCTGCCAGCCCTGCTGTTGTGTGTGCACCTGCTGCCAGCCTTGCTGCCCGTAATCAACTCTCCAAACACCAGCATCTACACAAAATCCTCTCAACCTGCTTGTCTTACCTGAACAAATTCTTTTCCTACCTTGGCTGATAAACATCAGACTGTCAAAAGAAATTATGTCCATTACCCCCCATTAAGACCTTGTAAATCACCTTGAGGGAGTGCAGACCACCCCACTCCCATCCACTTCTTCCTTAGGTCTTTTGGACCTTGGTTTTAACTCATAGGTCCTGGATGTGGATGTGTGCTCTTGATTGGAATTCTGGAGCCAAATTCTTTATCTTTCCATCTAAAGGACATAGTAACACACTCCTTCAGAAGAATTTATAGGTATATGCATGTGCTCCTTCGTCCTTACAGTCATGGTTTCTTTCCCAGTGTTCTCCTTATTCCTGTTTGCCATTTCTTCTGTCACAGTCACCTTCAGTTGGCTTCCTCGGTACATCCCTTCTTCACAAATTCCTAATAAACTATAAACCTTTATTCATTCTGTATTGTCTTTCTTTACCTTATCGTGCTGAGACACCCTGACATGGAAATCACATTCTTGATCGATTTTAAGTGCAATGTACATTGTCATTGTATCCCACTCTGTAGCACAGACACCCAGAAGTTGCTCAGCTTGCAAAATTGAAATGGCATACCCATTGACTGTCAACTCCCTGCTTCAACTTACCCCAGCCTCTGAAATCTACCACTCTATTATGTCCCTATGTGAGTTGATCAACTTTACATACCTGCTAATGCTAGTGTTTTCCCTGCACTTGGCCTAGTTCATTTAGGGGAGAGGGCCAAGTTTCACCCTTGTTAGCACAGGGGGAAGGATTTTACCACTTCCATGCCTGAATAGTATTTCAGTACTGTGGGTTTCTATCCTATTCTCTTGATCCATTCGTCTGTCGATGGGTAGTTGGGTTTCCCACAGCTTTGTTCTTATTCATGGTGCTTCCTTGAACACATGAGTGTTGATTTCTTTTCAAGTTTCTGATCCCATTCTTTCCCCTGCAAATCCAGAAGTGGGCTTTCAGGACCATATGGTGTGTCTAAGTCTGGAGTTTTGAGAAAATTCCATGCTGATTTACAAGATTCCTGCATCATTAGGCATTCCTTCTAGTGAAGCTGATTTCCAGTTTCTCCACATCTTGTCAAAACCCTTATTCATTCATTACTTTGTGGAAGAGCCACAAATGGTATTCCAATACCACAATGATTGCAATGTTCGAATGATATGGCCTTGTTTACTGAAATGGCATGCAATAACAAAAAATACCTGGTCTTGCCTAAGGAACTACAAGATCAAACAACAATGCTCCCACCCCTGTGCCATGTTCAGCTGGGCCCTGAAAATGTTTCCATTTCTCCCTCCTCTCCACCAACATACCTGCACTACTAGGGAACACCACACCATTGCCTTTAAAAAATCAATATTCATTTTCAGAAAATCCTCAACCAGGTTAGAGGAAATACTGCTGACCTTGAAGCCAATCTTTCTCTTTGGGGTTCTATGCAATAAATGGTCTCTGCTCTTGCTAATGTCAGCTTCAAGTTCCACATTCAAAGAACAATCTCCTGTCTCTTGTCCAATGGCATCTGGGTGACCAGCTCAAAATATGATGTCTCTGACTTTTTGTACAAATTTTCATTTGGCTCCTCCCTGACATAACATTTAGAGCGCTTTAGGATATGTCATGTCATATAAATCCAGTTATAATTTTCGACACATCAGTATTTCTTCATCTATAATATGAGTTTCTAAATTCCCAAAATAGAGTTATGATCCCAATGAAAGGTCAGTGTTCAGAGAGTCACAAAGGCTTGTGTGTTTTATGTGGCATTTGGCTGGGTGACAAATTGATATCACTGGCTTCTTGACTGTTTCTCAAGTACGCCTTTCCCCCCAGCTTTTCCTCAATGGGTTGAGCTAATACTCATTTATCTTGCAAGTAATTTCCTCTTATGTTCATTTGAGTGTAGGCTAAAAGCACTGCTTCATTCATGCCCTATAGAATAATACAATCTTGATGTAAAAATGAACAGTATCAATTATAAATAAACAGGTCAAGACATTGTTTATGCAGTAAGGAAGCTCAGTGATGTGTCTACAAGAGACTCCTTAGAATTCCTTCATATGATGTGTGCTTCAGAAAGAAAGTCTTGGGGTTTCCCAGTGCATGATCTGAGAGGAACACTGTAGATGCCTTTGCTCAGGCTCTGTCAGAGAACGGCGAGTTCATCATATAGAGAGGAGAGCCCCTTAAGAAGTCCAGGACATGCAACCGAAACATGGCCAAATTGGGTCACAAGAAAGTGGAGAATCTTGGCTTGTTCAGAATTTATTTAATGAGAGAAGGTAGAGGAAATACAATTAGAATAAAAGGATAATGCAAATAGTATAGATCCTATTTGGATAGAAGTGGGACAAGACCTGAGTCACATGCATGTGATCATGACCCCAATTAGCTATTTTCAGAAATGTAAGGTTTCAACACTGGAACATTATTCAAAGTTTTCATCACATAGACTAAATAAGTGCAGAATAATCATAACATTGCTTTAGTTCATGAAGAAAAATCATTCAACATCTTACGAGTGAGGATTGAAGAGTCCTGATTCACCCACGATCAGGGGTGCCAACCCTTGAAATATCGAGCTTCAAAAGTGAAACTGATCATTCATCAGTCAAGCTGGGGGATGGGCGAGCAAGTCTCAAATCAGTCTTCAGAATGGAGTGTTTAGATCTTTGATATCAAACATGACACACCACCCAACATGCCCTGGCACAGGAGCAAGGGAAGGGAGAGTGGTTTCAACAAAGTGCAGCAGAAAAGACACCTTGCAATTTCCTGGAAAATCTCCTGACCAACTGTTCCTCTTAAGCCATCATGACCTGTGGGTCAAAGGTGTAATATAGCACAAAGATGCAAGATATAAATACGCTGCTGAAATGAACAAAAAGAGGAGCATTATTTGTGATGTAATTGCATTACAAAATTACTCCCTTTCTAAAAGATCTACCATGCACTCTTAGATATAACCAGGGAGTTTACATACAGAGACATATAAATGGAACATTTTTAATGTAGCCAACATAGTAAAAAAAATTGACTTTTAAATTATAACATAAGAAATCATAACATATTATACACTTACATAATGGGATATCTATGAAGAAATAGAATGAAACACGGACAAGATAGCCACAGAGAAAGAATGAATCCTTCCAACTGGGAATTTCATGAGTAATCCTATACTTGGTTGTAGATCCACCAGAAATGCTTTTATACATCACCACAGGTTCTGTGCAAAAACACTTATAGCAGCACAAATTTGAATGGTCCCAAGCTACAGACAAGCTAGGGGACATGCAACAGATTGTGTCATTTCATTCAGTGGATGTTTTACAACAATGAGAATGAACACACTAGAGTATGACTCTCACACTCACCACAGAAGGAAACTCACTTATTATCTGAAGCAAACTAAAAGTGAAAAAACTCAAAATTGTCCTAGAGGTTCCCATGTCAACAGAGGCTTATGCCTCCTTTGGGGATGAGTGACAGGGTAGGGTTTGAACGGAACAGGTTTTGTTTCTATTTCCTAATGTGATATACTGACAGGGATGCATTCACTTTAGGATATTTCACCACACTGGAAATTAATAATTTTCATCTTTCTGAACACATTGGTAGACCTGAAAACATTTTAAATATGTTAGTCCTCACAGGTAAACCAGGTGCCATCTCACCTAATCTTAATTCCCTCATGAAACAGAATTGAGGCAAAAAAAAAAAAAAGCAATAGAAACAAAAGGGAGAACAAAGAAACAGAGACAGAAGGAAAGACAGAAAAAAATCCCTGACCAAAGATCACTGACTCCCCTGGGATTGTTCCTCACTGAGAATACAGCAGAATCATGCTCCTCCCACAGACACTTCCTAATCTGAATACAAAGGAAGAAAGCCCTAGAGAAACAATGCCCTGACCCTCCCCAGGGCAGCAGGAGCCACCACATGACCAAAATGATGCTCAGAGTACCAAGGATACTAATAAGGTATGACTGTCTTCCTTCTTCTGGAAACAGTTTCTTTGAGTTATGCCCACTTAGGAAACAGATTAAACACTTTCAGGATACACATCCCATTTGCATAACAAATTCTTCATAGACAAACACAAACTGAATATGGAAAATAACATAAACAACAACAAGGAAAATGGCTGCTGATTGGTTTCAACTTTGGAGCCCCATGGATAAAAGAGCCCAGCTACAAGGAGTCACCATATCCCACAAACTCACTCATCTGTGAACAGGATCCCATCCTCCACACCTCACACCATGGCTCGCTGCTGCTGCTCCTCTTGCTGCTCCTCTTGCTGCAAGACCACCAGCTGTTGCACACCCTGCTGTCCACTCAGCTGCTGTGGGTGCAGCTGCTGTGATAAAACCAGCAGTGGATCCAGCTGCTGCCAGCCCTGCTCTCCCCCAGCTTGCTGGGATATCATCTGCTGCAAGACCACCTGCTGCAAGCCAACCTGTGTGGTCAGCTGCTGCAGCACATCCTGCTGTGAGCCCAGCTGCTGTGAGCCTTGCTGCTGCCCCAGTTGCTGCATCATTCCCTGCTGCCAGCCCTGCTGCAGGACCACCTGCTCCAAAAAATCCCATGTGACCCGCTGCTGCAGCACACCCTGCTGCCAGCCCTGCTGCTGTGTGTGCACCTGCTGCCAGCCTTGCTGCCCGTGATCAACTCCCAAAGACCAGGGTCCACAAACTCTGCAAAACCTGCTTGCTTTCCCTTCCTGAATCAATTCTCTTCTTACCTCAGCTGAAATCTGTCATGCTCACAAAAATTCTGTTCAGTGTCCCCCACAGAAGACCTTCTGAATCACCTGGAGGGAGTGCAGACTACTCCACTATCAATCACCCTCTTCTTCCTTAGGCCTGTGTACCTTGTACCAGCATCATAGATCCTTGGTGAGGAAGTGTGATCTTGCATGAAATTCTACAGCC